ACACTGTTCTGCTCTTGTGTGTATAAGTACATTTTATTTTAATACTGTATCAACTTGTCCTTGATTCCTCTCTCATATCAGACTGCAATGGAATGGGCCAAATCGACTTCTCTACGGCTACCCACAGAGATTCTCCTAATATTATACCAAGAAAACTTGTTTATGACACACACTGTCCACGAATTACTGTGGGGCTACAAAGACAAACTTTTGTCAACCCTTCATGTGCTTCATCCTGAGATTGATTCAGAGTTTGGCTTATTTAATAAGGTAACTTGTCTACGATGTCTTGCTTTCCGGAGCTTTAAATTAATGGCACATTACTGATGCAAAGTTGAGCCTGTAATTGCTGGGCCAGTTGTAAAGGGTCTATCGGGGTCGCACGCAAGCATTATGGGGAGGTTGTGAGGAAACAACTGAAGAGATGACAGTGGGGATAGCTGAAGGACTACATCTGCTTGGCTAGGAGGTTGCAGAGTTTCCTTATTCAGATGTGGACCATACCACTGTTGCTCATGCCTTAGTCCCCTATAATGCACTGTTTGTGGGACTAGCCTTGAAAACCACTGGGAAAATTCAGCTGAGACAGAATGTGGCTGCCCACTTACTTAATAGCATTTCACTGTGGGAGCACATAAATATCTGGGCCCTAGAGAGACTGTATTGGCTGCCAGTTTGTGTCTGGTTGCAATTCAAAGTGTTGATTCAGTCTCTAAAGTTCTTTATGGCTTGGGCCATAGATATCTTGGATACCCCTTCTCTCTCCTTGAAATCATCTGGAATACTTCGGTTGACCGTCCCTCTCTGTCAACAATTAGCTTGCAGCCCCCAGCAGAGTCCAACGCATGGTAACAGGGTGGCACAACAGTAGACACCTACCACCCTGTTCTAGTGCATCAGCTAGCTGCCCTAGGGAGTGACTGGCCCAGCACTGTGCAGACGAACTCTTCTGTGTTTCTAGATGAATGGAACGGATGACGGTGAATATGTTGTTCTCAGTGGGAAAATGAACTACCTTAACTTCTCGAAGATCGTGGAGTGGAGAGGAAAAGAGTAAGTTGTCGAATCGGACGGTGTGAAACTTCTCACTTCCTTTGAGACCTTTCAGTCAGCAGAGACAGCGCCTTTCATTTCTAATATTTTTACAAAGAAGCCAGTTTAGTGACAGGCTCTCTGCACACCCCAAATCCCACAGCTCACAGGAAGTTAGCCTTTGCCCTGCAGAGGACAGAGGCAGGCAGAATGAACCTGCAGGGTGCTGAGGGAGCAAAACGACTACTATACCCTTTACATGGGTGCTGCATCCACTCCCTCCACCATTGCCCTCAGGCCACCAGCTGGTGCAGAAAGGGGGCTGCGGTGTGGCCGTGCCCCCACACAGACACATTGCACCCTCTTTGAGAGATGTCATTGCTGCTGGCATTATAAGTAGCTGGGTGGATAGATGGGGAGAGAGAGACACTCCCACAACTTGCAGTTGGTCAGGAGAAGCCCAAGGATTTTGATTGCTGCCTGCACGAGCAAACCTGCACGCTGGGCAGCCAGAAGTGGGAGGGGTGGATGTTGGAGCCGATACAGTTTTAGTGAGTGTAACTTCTCAGCAAACAGGGCTGTTTCTGTCGTGAAAGGAGAGTTTAACAACTAGACCAAGTCCATTCTATCTGGGCACTTGTCTTCCCTGGGAGAAAGGTGAGTTTTTAAACATGTGTTAACCTGTCCTGTGTTCAGCTAGCCCATGGTACAGCCCTAGTAAAGAGGGGGCAGTTGTAGTTTTAACCAGTATTAGATGGCCAAGGTACATAGGTTAAAACAGCAACTGCCTCATTGTCACTAGAATTGTAGCAGGGGTTAGTTACACAAATCATCTTAGGTTAGGTCTTCACTGCGCAAAATGGTCTGTTTGTGCATTGGTGCGGTTGATTTAAAATCCTAGTGGAGACAAGGCTCTATAGTTTTGACTGTGATGTAGCTAGGCCAGGTCAGCTGCAGGTGGGGTTCCACCCCCACCCCCACCCCCCGCCACCTCAAGGGCTTTCTTACTTGTTAACATGCATGGGTTTAGTTTGTGATCCTTTTGGTCTTTTGACTTGATATCAAAACTCTACTGAAAAGCTGGGGACTATAACTACAAACTCCACATAGGAACTGACGTATTTCTCTGCATACTGATTTTACAGAATCAGCTTGAACTTGAAAACTATTGCCAATAATCTGCTACATCATAGTCACTGAGTATTTAGCAGTATTGTGGACTACTACTTAGTTTTCCCTTTGATTTTATTAAGTATACAATAAATATTAATAAAAAGGGTGGTGGAGCTTGCGTTAATGCATTCAAGCTGGAGATTCGCTCCATGTGTTTCCTGCTAGTCAACATCCATCCATGTACTCTTGCAGATTTCTAGAATACAAATGACATTTATCTTTATTTGGAGTGAACATACCTGGGTCCTGCTTCCATTTGCTGTTTCCCTCCATTAAATTTTCTGGTTAGTTGCTGTTTTCTGGTGGCTTTCACGCAAAGGGGGAGACTGTGACTTTAGATACAGTAGTGAGCAAGGGGTGGTGCGTAAAACTGCCCCTCCCAGGAGACATTGCAGCTCTGAGTCACAGTCATCCCCTGCTTCCTTGCTCCTGGGGAGAGCTCCCCACACCCTGCAGCTGGTCAGCTACTCTGGGTTGCAAGTAGTGGGGTGGAGCTTCTAAGGCAAGGCTCAGACCATTCCCCATGTTCCTAGCAAGTAGCCTTGCCGACTCCTCTGCGTCCAGACCCAAGGTCTGGGGAGCCTGTTGTTGGCACCAAGGGGCTACTACCCCTGAATGGATCTTTAATGGCTCCTAGTGGAGCAGATTACTGTCATACCAGTGAAAAAGGTCCACAGTAATTATCTTGCATACACAGCACTTTATTTGAGAAGGAATCACACCAGCGGTAAAAGGTTACATTAAGCACATAACTCTATGTTAGACATTAGACAACGATACAGTAAGAGCAATACATCCCTCTTAGCGAGCCTCTCATTCACAAACGTACACAAACAGGCCCTGCGCTAGCCTCACGCAGTTCCTGCTTGGCAAACAGAGAAGGTGGTCACCAATTCTATGGACGGCTTCTTCCCTCCAGGTCTGGTCTCCTCAGCACTCTGGTCTGTCTCGATTCCCTCGAGGCCAGGCTTGGCTACCTGGAAACCCCTCTGGACACAATCCTACTCGAGCCCACGGTGCAGAGTTTTCGCTACTCTGTCCAGCAGCTTCTCCAGGCGTCAATTAAGGAATCCCCCAACAGTAATTTAATTTGCTTGATTTTTATACTCTTTTTTCCTCAAAGGAGTCACATGTCTTAAAAGCACGCCCAGTGGGCGTGTGGTTACTAATTTTTACCTGGTTAGTACTTTCGGAGAAGACTGCAGAGTGGTGCCAACTGAACGTTACCCCACATTCACTCCCTTATCACTCATTCACATCAGCCCCCTGTGTGATGTCCTTTAACAGGGTTGAGATGACCCCATCAGCCCATGCTCCACTCAGGATGTTCTACACGTGTTGTTTGCTTTCAAGTGGACATATTTGCTGACCCAAAGATCAGTATTGATCATACACGCAGCATGGAGCCAGTTTCACCTCTGGCATCTGCCTGATGCTAAGAGGTCTAGAGGCAGAAGAGGGTTCCTACACACTTGCTTGACATGTGGTCTGGCTCATAAACAAGCCCAAAGTGAATAACCCAAAACACCGTGCTGTTAATTAAAATGTCTGCCAGCAACTTTTTGCTTGGGCAATATACTTGGAGCCAGATTCTCAGTTACACTAAGGCCCCAACGTAAAGGGGATGTAAGTGTAATTTATGTGCATTTTCGGCCCCGTATACACTGCCAGAGCTATTTCCATTGCGCTACGGTTAGGTCTGCACTGCAATCTGAGGTCTGATCACAGCGCAGGTAGATATAGCTACACTAGCTTTAATCTAGCTAGCGCAGCTAAAAATAGCAGTGAAGCCACAATGGCGTAGACCCCAGTATGGTTTGTACAAGTCCACCCAGAAACCTGGGTGTGTACTTGCATTCCTAGCCTGCACTGAAGCCGTGCCACCGTGTCTTCACTGCTATAGCCATGTTAGCTCAATCAGAGCACGTGCGGATACGGTTACCCAGCTACAATCACACTTCTGACTGCAGGGTAGACATACTTTCAGTGTGAATGAGAGTCAGGCCCTCCCGGTCCTTCCCACACCAACCAAGCAGTATTAACTCACCATTGCTCAATAATTCTTTGGCTCTTTTGTTCCCTCTCTCTGCTTCTTTTATTGCAGGTCACTGAACTGGTGGACCACAGAGTCATGTAATATGATCAATGGGACAGATGGAAGTGCTTTCCACCCATTGATAAGCACAGATGAAACAATTTATGTCTTTTCTTCTGATTTCTGCAGGTAAGGAGAGGAATTCCAAAAGTAACGTATCAAACTGTTCACACTGGATCCTTCCGAGATTTCAGATGAAATCTTTTTCCCTAATGTTATGTTTTACAAGCTCTATTCCTGAAGTACATTTGTCCTTTATTAATTCACTCTAGGGTGACCAGATGTCCCGATTTTATAGGGACAGTCCCGATTTTGGGGTCTTTTTCTTATATAGGCTCCTATTACCCCCACCCCCGTCCCGATTTTTCACACTTGCTGTCTGGTCACCCTAATTCACTCTAACAAGTAGGAGTGAGTTAGTCCCTAAAAATCAAGTCACATCTAGTTTAAAAATGAACTATTTGTGACAAAAGTAAAATGAAAATTTGAATTACATCCTGAAATATCTGCTGAATTCCCTCACTCAGCAGGATGAGAGGAAACAGCACAAGCATGCTAAACAGACCTTATTTGAAACTTCTCTTTCCCTCTGTGAAATCCTCTTTCACTTCCTAATTTGCTAAAGACATTCCAGAATGCATCATTCTGTGACATCACTTCCACCATTAGACACATGCACACATACATAAATAATGGGATATGGAAGAGCCTGGGATTTTTCTCTTGCCATCCTACCTAGTAGCCTCCTTCCTCCTAGGTTTCTCTGCCATTTGAAAACAAAATTGACATGACATTTTCTTTTTAAAATCAGGAAAATAACCGCCATTAGATGAATCCAGGGCCGGCTCCAGGCACCAGCATTCCAAGCAGGTGCTTGGGGCGGCAATCTGGAAGGGGCGGCAGTCTGTGTGTTTTTGCCGCCCCAAGCAGCGCGCCGAATTGCCACCGCAGATGGCGGGGGCAGTCCATGTGCCATTAGGGCGGCACGCGCGTTTCCGCGGCAATTCGGCGGCAGCTTCTATGTTCAGCTGCCCTCAGCGGCTTCTGTCTTCCGGCTGAAGACAGAAGCTGCCGTTGAATTGCCGCCGCCGCGGAAACGCGCATGCTGCCCTAACGGCACACGGACTGCCCCCGCCGTCCGCGGCGGCAATTCGACGCGCTGCTTGGGGTGGCAAAAACAGTAGAGCCGGCCCTGGATGAATCCAGGCAATGTTGGGGGTTCAAGAATTGCCCTCTTTGGGGCCTGCTGGTACTGTCTCCCCTGTCCATGCTTTTCATTGTCACCGTTGTGGTTGTGAGATCTGTGGCAAAAAAACAGCTGCAGCACCACTGAAAATCATATGGCTGAAAAGATAATCGTGAGGACTTGAGAAACCCTTCTGAGGCCAGGCATCTGTGCCCCAGACCTCCATTTTTTTAAAAGACTCATGCAACACCACAACAAGGTGTATAGGACCTGATCCAAAGCGCATCGAAATTAGTGGCAAGGCTTCTGTTGGTTTGAGTGGGTTTTGGATCAGGTCCGTAGCTTACCGTAAATCCAGATGGGCATATGGCTGCCACTTTGAAGGCTATACAGCATAGGCTACTAAGTCCTTGTGTCTCTCAATTCAGATTCTTGCTTTTCTTCCCCACAGATCTCTGTATGTAACTTTTGATAGCTTTGTGAGTGTGTCTGGAATCCCTGCCTATCGGTTTGTGCCCCCCGAAAAGGTGTTTGCCAATACGTCAGTGAACCCAGACAATGCAGGATTCTGTGTGCCAGCAGGAAACTGCCATGGCTCAGGTGTCCTGAACGTCAGCGTCTGCAAGCAGGGTATGTAGCCAAGGAGTGTGGGGAATACTTCTGGGGCAGCACGTTTTCACATTTAACTGAAACACGTTGGGGCTTGGTTTGATTGGCTTGATCCTGTGAGGTCCTGAGCACTCTCAATTCTACATGAAGTCATTGGGAGCCGAGAGAGTCCAGCATCGTGCCAAATCAAACCCAGTATCACCAGTTGTTGTTGTTAAAAGGCTCCAGTAGTGAAGAAAACTCATCTGCAATAGCATTCCTGAAAGATGTCGTCTGCCCACGCTCTAGTTTACATCATATAAAGACTGGAGTCAGAAGCACATCCTAGGAGCCGGACTGTAAAGTTAAAAGCAGTCACAGCCAGCCATGCTCTGCCCAGCACAGTCACTTCTTAGTGGGCAAAATTCAGTATGGGGCCTATATACCACTTGACCCTGGTGCATAGGCCTCATGCTGGCTGGCTGTACCGGGTGAATTTCCCCTCTGTGAAGATGGGGCATGTCAATTAGTAGCCTCTGCCCAGGTGACCCCTTATGGCCTCCAGGCAGCCCTGCCAGCAGCTCCTCACCTCCAGTTCCCCTCTTGGTTCCTCAGTAAACTCAAAAAGAGACTTTTACAAATCCAACAACAGCTTTCCTCAGGGTCTGGTTTATTAACTTACATTTCAAAAACTGGACACAAGAGCCTTCTCTCCACCATTAAGCTGAGCACAGCCCCAAATTCCCCTGGTGTGCAGGGTCCTCCCTGCTTTGGCAAGCTACTCCCAGCCTTTCCTAGCTGGAGCCGAGCCTTCAGGCTCTGGCTTGCAGGCCCCACCCTTTCTCCCAGTTAGGGGCTCCTGCATTATTAACTTAACACCACATTCCAAATAGAGTTTTCAAGTCCATTCATTCTCCCAGGCCATTCCTTGCCTGTTGCCTCACTCGCCCAGCTTCAGTTTCTCTGCTAGAGCCTAGTCGCTCCCAGCTACTTCTGTTCTCCTTGAGAACACCTGCTGCAGGGCCAGGTGTTTCCTGCTCAGGTGTGCCTCCTTACTAATCGGAGCTGGCTGGCCTTGGGAAAGTTCTGCTTTAGTAAATGTCACTTCCCCAGTCAGCGTGTGAAAGTCGTGTTCTGTGCTGTCTTCAGTGCTTTCCGTGTGTGCTTTGTGAAGGTTAGCTCTATTGGCATGAAATTTGTAATCACACCTCTTTAGAATGTCCTTAGACTCAGTCTGTGTTGGGAATAAAATAGTCCTAGTAGAATAATTTTTCATCAGTGCAGTGAGACTCGTCACGTACTTAAAGTTACACAGGTGCATAAGTGACCGGACTGTACCATGAGTGACACCTCAGAAGTGTAGTGTGGGCTCACAGCCTGGATGACACGAAGGGCTAGATCAGGGGTGGCCGACCTGAGCCTGAGCAGGAACCAGAATTTACCAATGTACGTTGCCAAAGAGCCACAATAATACGTCAGCAGCCCCCCATCCGCTAAGCGCCGCCCGCCCATTGGCAGCCCCGTCGATCAGCACCTCCCTTTCCCTCCCCACGCCTTCCGCCCGCTGCAATCCGCTGTTTTGCAGTGTGCCGGAGGCTCTGGTGGGGAGCAGGAAGGAGCGAGGGCATGGCAGGCTTGGGGGAAGGGGCAGGAAGGGATGGAGTGGGTGCAGGACCTGGGGCAGAGCAGGGGGTTGAGCAGTGAGCACCCCCGGCACATTGGAAAGTTAGCATCTGTAGCTCCAGCCTCGGAGTCAGCGCCTATACAAGGAGCCGCATATTAACCTCCGAAGAGCCGCTTGCGGCTACGGAGCCGCAGGTTGGCCACCCCTGGGATAGATCCTCAGCTAGTGTCAATTAATGTGACTCTTTTGGCTTCAGTGGGACTGCCTGTGTGCCCAAGTGCTTTGCTGGATGAGGGCCTAACCCTCGGGAGAGAACAAACTACGTGTGACAGATGTTAGTCACCTTGCTTAATGCACTGCTGGAAGGCCCTCGATGACTGAAGTGATGAGCGTGTAAGAACCTAGATAGTATACACCAGGACTAGGTTGGGATCTGTTACGTTGATGGACCATAAGAATATAATAAATAACAATACCCAGCTCTGATATAGCACTTTTCATCGGTGGATCTC